GATAGCAGCCTACTATTCGAAGTACGTCGATAAATCCATACCCGACAAAAATAACACACTATACAACACCAACAGTCTTCGCCTGAGGCTCGCAAGCATTTTCTGGAGACTCACGAGAAAGCCCATCTTCATCAACCTCCTCGACTCCATGCCCGCATTCCGAGTCATCATAACCGGCACTTCTCACAACACAAAGTTTCTCACGATCCACTTCGGTGGGGCCCACGTGATACACCTGTTCTTCCCCATCATCATCATGGTTAGAGGCCGAAGGATACAAATGGGAGTGTGTATGAAAGCTAGGGGTATAAAGGTCATCCAAGTCTTCTTTCCGCCTTCGTTTGCCTGTGCTCCGCCTTCTGACCCTTTCCTTCCCTCGACTTTTCTTTCCGATTTCGTCCTCAGAGTTGGTCAAGAGAAGGGCCGAGGACCCAGCGTGGTCCCGTAGGCACTCGTGCGCGATATAACGGATTCTTGTCACCGATTGTATTTGCTGGTCTTCCATTCCGTGTGTGGAGAGTGTATCTGCTATTTCGGCAATGTCCCTCAATGCTGCAGTCTGGGTTCGTTCAGTCATAAAATTGGTAAAGAAAATGTAAAACATTTAGGGATAAAACATAAAAAAAACTACGGTTATAAATGCGACAAGAATGATCAGCGCAAAAAGATGTGTTCTTTAATCATATCCACGGGTTTTTTATAAATATAAGAAATACAAACAAACAATTACTTAAAATTTGACTCCATCTTGCATAATGCATATTCACCCTCTGAAAGCAGAAACATTTTAAAGCACCGATTGAAAATTGTTGAAATACTGCAGTTAACCCAGAGATGTATGACATCAAACCTCAACACAATTTTTTTTTTCTTTTTTTTTTTAATAATAATGAATCACCACTGAATTTTTTCTTTTTTTTTTTAATAATAATGAATCACCACTGAATTTTTTCTATATAGTCCAAAATCCAACTCTCAGGGGAAATTTTGATATTTATCCAGCACAAAGATATACCCAGAATGTTTACCCTATTTGCAAGAAAACGGTTATTTCTCAACATAAATATTGCAAGAAAGTGAAGCAACTTATTGATATACCACTTCCCCTGGTTACAATTTGTAGAAGAGAAACTAATTTCAACCGGGATTTTAAAATCCTGAATGATCAAAACCCCGGTTATGCTTATTTAATCACATTTGGGAAGGAAAAAAAAAAA